GCTTCATTCGTTAACTGGTTTAACACCTTGGCCTAAGGCCTCTGGTTAAACCTGTTAAATCATGAAAGCGGGGCTATATATATATAACTTTATTGTATGCGCAGTGAACATGCCTATGTACATGCGCTATATAAATGTACATATTATTATTATTATTCATCAGGCCGAAGTTAGATTTGAACTCCAGCATCCAAGATGGCGGCTGAAATCAGCTGTCCATTTTCTCGTTTTTTCCACAAATAAAATGCAGTTTAGTAGCCAGTTATCCGAAAGAAACTACAATAGCATATTCCTGAAGTAATGGCTCGAGAAATACCTCTCTCAAATGTAAGCAACATATATCAATTTTAAAACAATTGGATGATAACTTTTGGAGTTAGAGCGTTCACAAGAAATTGTGGACGATGGACGGACAGACAGGCGTATAAAAATGACATACCTAAATTGAGCTATTTTGGTACCTTGCAGCACTAATTCCCTATACCAAAAACCTCTCGATGAAAGTCTATCAAACTTTCAGAATGTATACCCACTAACCATATCTGCTACCCAATAAAGTTTCATTAATCTACTCGCCGTAGTTTGGTTGTACCCAGTGATGGGATTTCAAAATTTTTCTTGTTGGACATTTTTACCGAAAATAAAGGGACTTAACTCTTATCGTTATTTGGAGGCAGACTACCATTAATTTCCCCATTGACTTCAATGTTAATTCTGTCCTCTTTGACCATTCTAGACCAAAAAATCAACAAAAATGTGCATGCAAATGGGTCATTAAACAAATGAGGGGTCCAAAGTGTGACATGGGTACTAAAATTTTAAGTTATCTCAATCACTTATAAAATTATACCAATAATATGAGTATCGCTTATCCCATCAAACGAGCGAACAGCTTGGACCAGACATTCGCATCCTCTAATACAGTTTCCAGAAGTGCCAAGTTTTGCAGCAAATTTCCTACACTGCAGACCATTACACTCGAAATGCATTGATGGACGACGAATTCCTAACGGATCCGACCATTGCTTTGCACTGTAATCTCCACACTGGCGAAGTAAAAGATCTGCATGGTCGTACAAACGATTTGTTATACCTAGTAACAAATGTAACTCCATCGGTGGGAGGATGTCAATAACCAGTTGATCATCTGGGAATGTATAAATATTCTCAAAAGCAACGATTCCAGACCCCAAAAGAAAACGATGAGCTACGAAGATGGTGCTTCCCGTCGTCTATTTCAGGACACTGGCATAAAAAAGCTCATGGTTATTGCAATTGTTGAGGAGGTGAAAGAGACCTACCAAAATCTGACGATGATCATGAACTTGCTAAATCACGAAACTATTGACTTCATTTCGGCCTTTGACTTAAAACTAGCCAGCCGCTGCGTTTCAGATTTGCGTATATCCCACTTTGGTCAGTCGTTTGATGAGATACACTACGCTGCTGGAGTTTGGGACTAGAATCGCCAAACACGGCGGAAAAAATCCCTGTTCCGCGGCGGAATCTTGGAGAATCGCTAGCGAAACGCCAGCTAGGGTCGGATTCTTTTTCTAACGCACTATATACGTGTACATGCATTACGTGGGGCCAAAATGTATGCAAACTATGAACAACTTACTATTTTTTAAACGTATCATTTCATCTTCGTCTATAACTTGATGTAATCCATCAATTATTGTCTACTATCAAATCCAAACTTTAAATTATAATTTATATACGATGATCTTTTTCACATTACTTCATTACTCGCAGCTTCAGTTGATCTAAATCAACCATCCATAAAGCACAGTGCCATAAATCACTCCGCAGTGTGCTTAACGGCAAGTCACGTGGTCCGAAACGTGCCAATAGATTGGAACTATATTCTTACGCTGTGTTACTCGGCGAAAAGTATTTAGCAAATCTTGACTGTCATGGGCGGGAGGGGGTACACTGTGAAGATCACAAAAGTGACAGCGCCATGTATTTGTTTTTTTACAAATTATGTATACATATAATACTGTACATTTACATGCATTCAACCAAGGAATATTCTTACGGGATTTTGCGAAGCCGTAGAAAAATCTCTGCCGTGCTGTGACAATATACATCTACTTTATATCGCCCAATTCATTTCGGTGGAAGCTGATATTGAATAAAACCATTTCACACACACAGACGTGTACATTACATGCGCATGTCATATATTTATACAATGGCCACGAATGTGTTAATTCTTTCCTTCAGCCCGTTATAATTTACTTATTCTGAGTGCATTTTCTGAATGCATGTATGTCATCAAGGTCTGTCATATAAACATACACCTATCAATTGAGGTCCTTTCACACATACAGATGTTTGATGCTAGACATATTTATGAATATTTGTTAACATTTATTGATTTTCATATTACCAGTTATTCAATTTCCCTTCACGTGTCCAAAATACAATATATTATTAGCCGCGTGTTTGAGTCCTCGATTTATAGGTTTATTCTCATCTGGTCATACACACTATCATTAAGTTTTTGATAAAGAAAAATTTCAAAATATCATACATTTCCTTATTGATAATGCCATATTTGAGGTTGGGGATCAGATAATGCAACAAACCATTTATGGCAAACGCACATTTATATAAATACAAATTCGACTTTCAAGACCATACGCGCAATTAGGTTTGTAGTTTTTGGTTTTGAAGTATTTTTGTCTTAAAAGCATAAAAAATCTGGATGTTGTTGTTATATTTTTGGTCAGATGAACTGAGTTCTGATATAGCACATGAAAAATTGTGTACAGTTTCAAAAATTGTACAAAACCTGAGTCACTATTTGTGTCCTGTGTAACATGCACAACCCCTAAACATTGAGGCATAAAATCAGAATTTTTTTAATTCTCAGAACTTACATTATGTTTTCGTTCTAAAATATGAAAATGTTACATATTTTTATTTGTATGCAGATAAATTTAAGCAAAATTAGTGAAGATTTATTTTCTAGCAATAATGTCACACTTTTGTGCACAATACCAAAAAGTGACCCATATACCACCAGGTGAATTGATGAATAAAACTATAAATTTCCTACCTAACAATGTTGTGTTATTAAGTTAGGCCTAGATCTAAAATTGTAAATGTATTATTGCAGCTGAATGGAAAGAATTGCTTTTGAGTCTTTCATCAGACAATTTTTTAAAATATGATAATCTTGAGATTTTTGAAGATTATTTAACCAATGGTTCTATTTTATTGCTACGGTATAAATTGAATAAAGGCCAACTATCCTTGAAAGAAATATTTCAAATGTTGACGTCCATTTCACCAAAACTTAATTTAAATTTGAAGAAATTAAATTCTGTTGTTAATAAAATACTTATAAAGTATACAGAATTAAAGAAACGGAAAGGTACATGTAGTACTGAAATCAATGCGTATTTAAATCTTATGGCAATCTTGCCGCTTAAAAGCAATGAAATGAAATGAAATGGGGTTTAACGTCCTACTGTTCTGCTCCTAAACTGGACTAATGAAGACGAACCGCTTAAAAGCATTTCTAATGATGTAAGTCTAACGCAATCATGCTCAAACTCAAATGAAGATATAAAAACGCCATTAGAACCAATGGTCAATACATTGCAAGAGAAATTAGATTTGATGTCAGTAGGTAACAAAAGTGAAGGTATGCCAGGCAATCAGGATTATGATATTAAAATTAGTGAAATTTGTTTGGACTTTTAAAATTTAAAGGAGCTAAGTCGCTAATATTTGGGACCTAGAAAATGACACAAATGGGTCGCAACGCATACAGTAATGTAATATGTATGTATATAAATGGATTTACATTCAATCGTTTCTGTTTTTACTGTAATTTCTAATCAGTTAGGTTCGGCGACATACGCCAGTATTCTCAATCGAATTTCAATCTCTAGCTTCTGGTTATTCCAGTCTACGCCGATAGTATTAACTGGGCATGCTCTCCAGATAAGAATATAGATTCACCGTTTGACATGACTTGTGGAATATGCCTAGCCTCGTTTTTCGAGTCCCTTATTACAAATAGCGCTGAAATGCATGATGGTACACAATTCGTGTACCAATTGTAAAATGTTTTTTTTTTTGTCTTAAATATTGGATATCAGAGGGACATCTTTTCCCGGTAAGATCATAACATCAATGTTGATTAAAACCGACAAATAAATCGTGTTTTCAATGCCAAAGATTTTGGATGATATTGAGTTAGAGACTTAGCTACTTTAACTACAAAAACCGTGGAGCTGGAAACCAATACTTTACAAAAGAGGGTGGTAAGATTGGGAAAGATATGTAAGTTTCAGGCCAAAGCAATAAAGTCTATGAAGCGCACATCTTATTATAAACGTCTCCAACGACGCGAACGTTCTCTCAACACAAGGGAGGTCAATGACAGAAACCTCATTTTCAACCAGCGGGAGGAAATACAAAGGTTACGTTCAGATGCCGCTCTTGTACAGAATGAGCAGGATTCACAAAGAATGAAAAAAAAATTACTCTGTCGAAAAGACGCCGCACAATAGACTCTTTGGAAAAAAGTATTGAGGCCTGGGATGGGGAAACCGCAAGATTAAGGTCGAAAGTTTCGGAAAAAGATGCAGCTTGCACGAATCTTCAGCGAACCATCGATATATCTGGTGATCGTGCAATCGATACTCGCGTTAATGAAAGTTCGGTGGGCAAGTTTAATGATGGAACTCGTCAGTGTTGTATGGAATTAGTAGGTCAACAACTTGGGATGAAGAAGATTCCACAAGTAATTAGCACTGTTTCAAAAAATATGTTTGATATTGACATTTCAAATTCTTCCCTACCAAGTGCTACTACAATTAGCAATTTTGTATCCGAAGCACAGTTTATAGCTAAGCGCCACGTTACGGAAACGTTAGTGTTTTTAAGGATTTGGCCCAAACTATGATAGAAAACGAAGAAGTGTTCGAGAATTTGATTTCCCTGTTATCTTCGCTCGTTGGAGATCGATCTGCGGTAGTTAAATTGGCACATGAAAAACTAAATGAATGGAGAAAGGAATATTTGGATTCTGTAGGCCAAAAGAAAGATCACGGGTTACTTTACTTTTATTGTATGGCTCAGTTTTTATTAGGTTTACGTTCTCAGGCCGAAAAGGATATCAAAACATTTGAGAGCGAATTAGTAAAAGAGCGCGGTTCATTAGGAAGAGATGCGTTAGCTGAGTTAAAATTTTGGAGATGTTCAGAGAGTTGTGTTCTAAGATTATTTTGTCTGTCAATTTTGGGCCGATTTTCATGAAATTCGAACTCAACTGTCCTTAGGGTGTAACGGTGATATAATACTACGCGATTTTTCGTACAATCAGGGGCCATAATTCAGGAAGTTGCGGTCCGATATGCGCAAATATCGAAAGGAACCGAGATCTTTGGGTTATAAACTTACATTTCAAGTTTCAACAAAATTGGATAAAAATTGTGACCTCTGTAGGGTCCACAACCTTGATATACCGTATTTTTATGCTATTTGAGAACGAACGGCGGCCATTTTGTCTGTAAGTTTTGGGCCGATTTTCACAAAATTCGAACTCAGCCGCCCTTAGGGTGTAACAGTGATACACTAAAACGTTTTTTTAAATCGGAAAAAAATTATGACCTCTATTGGGTCCACAAGCTAACCAGCGGCTGCCAGGCAGGATACGCCCAAATTTTCGAGAGATGGATAGAGAACAAGCTAAAAAGAAAGTGATTTTTCCTACAATCAAGGGCCATAATTCAGGAAATTACAATTCGATATGCGCAAATATCAAAAGGAACCAAGATCTTTGTGTTATAAACTTACATTTCAAGTTTCAACAAAATTGGATAAAAATTGTGACCTCCATCGGATCCACAACCTTGATATACCATATTTTTACGCTATTTGAGAACGAAGGCCGGCCATTTTGTCTGTCAGTTTTGGGCCGATTTTCACAAAATTCGAACTCAGCCGTCGTTAGGGTGTAACGGTGATATAATAATACGGTTTTTAAAATCGGATAAAAATTATGACCTCTATTGGGTCCACAAGCTAAAAACGTGATTTTTCGTACAATCAGGGGCCATAATTCAGGAAGTAACGGTCCGATATGCGCAAATATCGAAAGAAACCAAGATCTGAGTTATAAACTTACATTTCAAGTTTCAACAAATTCGGATTAAAATTGTGACCTCTATAGGATCCACAACCTTGATATACCATATTTTTACGCTATTTGAGAACGAACGGCGGCCATTTTGTCTGTCAGTTTTGGTCCGATTTTCACAAAATTCTAACACAACTGTCCTTAGGGTGTAGCGGTGATATAATAATACGTTTTTTTAAATCGGATAAAAATTATGACCTATATAGAGTCCACAAGCTGTATGTGCAAATATCGAAAGGAACCGAGATCTTTGGGATATAAACTTACATTTCAAGTTTCAACAAAATTGGATAACCAGCGGCTGCCAGGCAGGATACGCCCACATTTTCGAGAGATGGATAGAGAACAAGCTAAAAAGAAAGTGATTTTTCCTACAATCAAGGGCCATAATTCAGGAACTTACAATTCGATATGCGCAAATATCGAAAGGATCCAAGATATTTGTGTTATAAACTTACATTTCAAGTTTCAACAAAATCGGATAAAAATTGTGACCTCTATAGGGTCCACAACCTTGATATACCATATTTTTTACGCTATTTGAGAACGAACTGCAGCCATTTTGTCTCTCAATTTTGGGCCGATTTTCACGAAATTCGAACTCAGTCGTCCTTAGGGTGTAACGGTGATATAATAAGTTTTTTTAAATCGGATGAAAATTATGACCTCTCTAGGGTCCACAAGCTAAAAACGCGATTTTTCGTACAATCAGGGGCCATAATTCAGAAAGTTACGGTCTGATAGGCGCGAATATCAAAAGGAACCAAGATCTTTGGGGTATAAACTTACATTTCCAGTTTCAACAAAATCGGATTAAAATTGTGGCCTCCATAGGGTCCACAACCTTGATATACCATATTTTTACACTATTTGAGAACGAACGGCGGCCATTTTGTCTGTCAGTTTTGGGCCGATTTTCACAAACATGTATAAACATGTATTTCAACTTTCATCAAAATCGGATCAAAATTGGTCCGATTTTCACGAAATTTGAAGTCAACAAACATTATGGTGTAATGGTGATATATTCGAACGTTTTTTTAAATCGAATAATAATTGTGATATGTGCGATATGCGCGAATATTAAAAGGGACCAAGATCTTTGGGTTATAAAGATACATTTCAAGTTTAAACTAAATCAGATAAAAATTGTGACCTCTACAGTGTTCACAAGCTAAAAACATGATTTTTCGTACAATCAGGGGCCATAATCCATGAAGTTACAATCCGATACATGCCAATATCGAAAGGAGCCGAGATCTTAGGGTGATAAACCTATATTTCAAGTTTCATTGAAATCGGATAAAAAGTGTGACCTGTAGAGTGTTCACAAACAATTGCTGACGGACGAACAGACGGACAGGGGCGACGATAATATACGTGCACATGAAAATGTGGGCGTATAAAAATATGCCTATTGCACACTGCAGGTAAAACATGATATATATTAATATCCAATTGAAAATTTAGATTATATTCTATGAAAAACATTCTGGTGGAGAATATGGGACATCATTTTAAAAAAAAAAATACCGGCTCTGGTCACATGACCTGGTTGCCATTCAAAAACACATTATGGGCTCTGGAGATATAATCAATTCGAATAAATGCCGTAATTGCCAATTCAGCATTAGAGACGTGAACAGCTCTCAAATGTTTATTTCCTCTTTGAAAATAAACAACTTGATTCTAGAATGGAGGATAGAGAAATACCCCGAAAGCATACAACGTATTGTAGTATTGATGAAGTTTTGTCAAGAAAACTGGGATTCTTCAGACGATGATGGAGTAGATTCTGACTTCTCAATAATGGATTTCCATTAGATGAATGCGGCAAGCTAGGTCATATGTTATGCACTGCACCGCAGTGTATCTGCACATACATGTTAATAGGATGTGGGCAGGCAAGACAGGACAGCCACATAAATGCTGAACAGCCAACAGTCCACCTCGTAGTCATGGCCATAAACTCGATCCATGGGTCTGGACGGAAACTGAAAAGGGTAATTTTGTTCCAAGTAATATAGTCTTTTCAGGTAATGAAGGACTGCTAGTCAGAACATAATCGCAAACACTGTACATAGCGTGATCTGAGTCGCTATCATCATCTATATCCATGAAAACATCCTCATCATCATGGTCATTATTTAGGTTTCCTGAAAATATATAATTTTCAAATGTAAATATATTATGTAAACATAGCCAAAAGTTTATACCTTTTCATGGAATATTCAATTGACAAAACACCAACAATTCAGATTGTTCACTTAATATGTTGTGGCACCCACAGATGTACAGAAATAATTATTCTCTGTCAACAGGGGGACTGCACCACTCACAATTACCCAACAAATTTACTGACGACACAATAAACAGAAATCGCAAACAAATGTACATCAAGTAAATCAATCAGGGGGCTAGCCGTAAGCGTCCACTGTGTTGTACCAACCTGGGCCTGTAGTGATACAAGGCCTCACTCCAAATGAAAAAACAAGCTGTTGCCATGCAAGATACGCCCACATTTTGCAAGAGATGGACAGAGAACAAGCTCAAAAAAGAAATGATTTTTCATACAATCAAGAGCCATAATTCAGGAAGTTACAATCCGATATGCATGAATATTGAAAGGAACCAAGATCTTTGGGCTATAAACATGTATTTCAAGTTTTATCAAAATCGGATCAAAATTGTGTCCTCTCTCTCTAGAGGGTCCAAAACCTTGATATACCACTCAACCATCTTTAGGGTATAACGGTGATATATTAAAACGTTTTTTTAAATTGGATAAAAATTATGACCTCTATAGGGTCCACAAGCTAAAAACGCAATTTTTCGTACAATCAGGGGCCATAATTCAGGAAGTTATGGTCCGATATGCACAAATATCGAAAGGAACTGAGATCTTTGGGGTATAAACTTATATTTTAAGTTTCAACAAAATCGGATAACAATTGTGACCTCTATAGGGTCCACAACCTTGATATACCATATTTTTTACGCTATTTGAGAACGATGGGTGGCCATTTTGTCCGTCAGTTTTGGTCCGATTTTCACGAAATTTGAACTCATCCATCCTTAGGGTATAACGGTGATATACTAAAACGTTTTTTTGGGTCCGATTTTCACGAAATTTGAACTCATCCATCCTTAGGGTATAACGGTGATATACTAAAACGTTTTTTTAAATCGGATAAAAATTATGACCTCTATAGGGTCCTTAATCCACCAGCTAAAAACGCGATTTTTCGTACAATCAGGGGCTATAATTCAGGAAGTTATGGTCCAATATGCGCGAATATCGAAAGGAACCAAGATTTGTGGGTTATAAACATATATTTCAAGTTTAAACCAAATCAGATAAAAATTGTGACCTCTACAGAGTTCACAAGCTAAAAACGTGATTTTTCATACAATCAAGGGCCATAATCCTTGAAGTTACATGCCAATATCGAAAGGGACCGAGATCTTAGGGTGATAAACCTATATTTCAAGTTTCGTCAAAATCGGATAAGAATTGTGACCTGTAGAGTGTTCACAAACAATTGTGGACGGACGGACAGGGGCGACGACAATATACGTCCACATGAAAATGTGGGCGTATAAAAATAGAAGAAAGTTAATACATAAATGGGTGAGAACATCAAACAATTTTTATAATAAGGGTGGTAATCTGGATAGAATCTCGAAAAAAGCTTAAAAAAATAAATAAGTGTAGTGAGAAAACCCCCAACAACGATAACATTCTGCAGTGTGACGGGCAAAAACTCTACTCTAATAGTAAGTGCAGGAGGACCCCACTACTAAGTACTACATGCAAATCAAAACCTACATTGACTACAAACAAGATGA